AGATGGTCTGAGTATATATAATTCAGGATCTGGAATGGTCTTTGGGAGTTATCACTTTATGACTGATTTTTACCTCCAGATTACCCAAAAATTCCTAATCATTTCAACTTTATAATTACTTGGTTTCTGCATAATTTGTACGCATTAGTTGTAACAGAAGTAATGACAAAGAAAAATAAGGAAAAAAATCTTACCCAAGTATTTTTGCACAATCATCATAATACTTCATGGAATTTTTCACAAAACTGAAGCCATTGACATCACAAACATAGGACTGTCCATTGGCTCGTAACAAATCAAAGCCACAAACTGTTTGCTATTGAAAATAAATGAGAAACTTTAAGGTTTTATTTGGATGTTTAAGATGAACTGTTTCCCAGTCTTACTAGTATGTATCAAATTTTATTAATCCCAAAAATTATATTAAAGTATATTATATTGCTTCAATTCAGAAGAGGACAAGGAACAAGAGATATTACTGTTGATGGCAGATAGGTCTTGGCTGAAAGCCAAAAATACCAGAAAGATGTTTACTTGTGTTTTATTGACTATGCAAAAGCATTTGATTGTGTGGATCATAACAAATTATGGCTAAAATTGAGAAGAATGGGAATTCCAGAACACTTAATTTTGCTCAAGAGGAACCTATACATAGACCAGGAGGCTATCGTTCCAGCAGAACAAGATACTGCATGGTTTAAAATCAGGAAGGGAGTGTGTCAGGTTATATCCTTTCACCACACTTATTCAATAGGTATGCTGAACAAATAATCCGAGAAGCTGAACTATATGAAAAGCATGGCATCAGGACTGGAGGAAGACGCATTAACAACCTGCAAGATGAAGGTGACACAACTTTGCTTGCTGAAAGTGAGGATGATTTGAAGCACTTACTGATGAAGATTAAAGACTGCAGTCTGCAGTCTGGATTACATCTCAGCATAAAGAAAATGAAAAGCCTCACAACTGGACCAATCAGCAGCATCACAATAAATGGAGAAAAGACTGAAGTTGTCAAAGATTTCATATTAGTTGGTTCCACAATCAGTAACAATGGAAGCAGCAGTCAAGACATCAGACAATGTATTGCACTGGACAAATCTGCTGCAAAAGACCTCTTTCAAGTGCTGAAGAGCAAAGATGTCTCTTTGAAGACTAGGATACGCCAACCCAAGCCACAGTACTTTCAATCACCTCACATGCATGTGAGAGCTGGACAATGAATAAGGAAGAACAAAGAAGAGTTGATGCTTCTGAGTTGTGATGCTGGCGAAGGATACTGAGGGTATCATGGACTGCTGGAAGAACTAACAGATCTGTCCTGAAGAAGTGCAGTGGAAGTGCTTCTTGGAAGCAAGAATGGCCAGACTTCGTCTGGCTTACTTGGGTCATGTTGTCAGAAGGAACCATTCCTTGGAGAAGGATATCATGCTTGGTAAAGTGGAGGGTCAACGAAAAAGGGGAAGGCCCTCAATGAGATGGACTGACAGAGTGGCTGCAATGATAGGTTCAGATATAGCAAGTATTGTAAGGCTGGCACAGGACTGGGCAGTATTTTGTTCTGTTGTATATAGGGTCACTATGAGTCAGAGCTGACTCGACAGCAGCTAACAACAACAACAACAACAACAAATGACAGAAATTACTTATTTGTAACTTGATTGCTCTGAAGATCCGTTATCCATATCATATGATTAGTTAAGTTCTTTACTATTAAGCATATATAGAAGATGCTTATGGAACTAAACAGACCAAAAAGATACTAGATCGAAAAGTCCTAAAAAGAACACTTAATTAAAAAAAAAAAAACTTATGTATTTTTAAAGGCTATGTTGGGCAATCTCCTTCCGTAGTGATACTGCCTTGGCAACCCAAGGAGGGGTTGCTATGAGTCGGGGCCGACTCAATGGCACATAATAACAACAATATGATAAAAATGCAAATCAAAGCATGACAGGGAAAGATCTGCCTCCAAAAGTTCAGTCGATATTAGTAACATGGATGGAGTAAAGCTTTTGAGACCTTCATTTGTTGATAAGGCACGACTCAAAATGAGAAGAAACAGCTGCAAACACCCATTAATAATTGGAACATGAAGTGTAAGAAGTATGAATCTAGGAAAATTGAGAGTTGTCAAAAATGAAAAGGAATGTATAAACATTGATATTACAGGCATTAGTGAACTGCAAAGGACTGGTATAGGTGATTCTGAATTGGATAATCATATGGTCTACCATGCCAGGAATGACAAATTGAAGAGGAATGGGGTCACATTCACCATCAAAAAGAACATTTAAAGACCTATCCTGAAGCAAAATACTGTCAGTATTAGGATAACATCCATACACCTATTAGAAGACCAGTTAATACCACTATTATTCAAAGTCATGTACCAAACACTAAAGCTAAAGATGAAGAAACTGAAGATTTGGACCAACTTTTGCAGTATGAAATTGACCAAACATTCAATCCAGATGTATTGATAATTACTGGTCATTGGAATGTGAAACTTGGAAACACAATGGCCCACCCAAAGAAAAAATACTGGTAGTTGGAAAATGTGGCAGTGGTGACAGAAATGATGCTGGACACCGTAAGACAGAATTTTGCAAGATCAATAACTTAATTCATTGCAAATACCCTCTTTAAACAAGATAAACAACAACTACACATGTGGACCTCGCCAGATCGAATACATAGGAATCAAACAGACTATATCTGTGGAAAAAGATAATGGAGATGCTCAATATCACCATTAGAATAAGGCCAAGGGCGGATTGTGGAAAAGATTATCAATTGCTTATATGCTGGTTTAAGTTGAAGCTGAAGAAAATTAAAATAAGTCCAGGAGAGCCAAAATGTGACCTTGAGTAAATAAGACCAGATTTTAGAGACTATCTGAAGAATAGATTGGATGTACTGCACACCACTGACCAAAGGCCAGACGAGTTGTGGGATCCTGTCAAGGACATCATCCATGGAGAAAGCAAAAGGTCATGAGAAAGATGAGAAAGTAAGAAAAGACCAAAATGAAAGTTAAGAAAGTTGAAAGA